TGTTCACAGGGCCCATAACAAAGCCAGACTCTGGCCAGAGTCTTCCTAACTCACTTCCTATTGTCAGTAGAAAGCTTAAACCATGTGTTCTACTACAAGAGTCTGTTTAGTGTTTGTTGACACAGTTTCCCTAGGTAGCCCAAGCCGACTCTGAACTTGTGATCCTCATGCCTCCAGGTTCTTGAGTGCTAAAAGAGTCTTCGAGCAACCCTGCTCCAGTTCAACTTGTTCATGGTTCACAGATGGAGGTGGCTTATAGCTGTGTCTAACCTATGGCCCAAGAGCCATTGCACCCTAGGAGAGCTATGAGTGTGGCCCAACACATTTGTAGATGACGGTCACTTTGCAATGTCAGAAGGTTGAATAATTGTGGAATTTTAGGGCCTGGAGTATGCAGGATCACAGTCAAGGGACTGGTGTCTGTGTCAGAGGACTCTGTGACCTACTATGAAGTTTTGGGAATGTTTTAAAAGTTTCCATACTTGCTCTCAAGATTTGCATCACTTCATTCTTTACAAAAACTAACAGGTTCAGATATATGGAAAATAATGCAAAGCAGCTATTTAATAGCTCAACCCAAACTATTCAAAAAGTAGATATTTCTACTCACCAGACACAGGTCCACTGTGTCTATTTTGGTTGCTATTAACAAAATATTGTCTGCGAGATTTATTCATTCATTCTATTGTTTGAATTCCTTTGGTGGTTTTGGGGGTTGAACCTAGGGCCCTCAGGCATGCAGGTCTTTTTCTCACTAAGTTATCAAGGTTGTCCTCAAATTCACTTTGTATCCTAGGTAGGCCTTGAACTTGGATCCTCTAACCTTAGCCTCCTAAGCAGCTGGGATCACAGGACTGTGTCACGGGGCCTGGCTGCAGCAGAGTGATTTTTAAAAAAGAGTTTATTTAGCTGCTGAGGTAAAGGCCAAGATTATGTGGCATCTCTTCAGCTTCCGGGGTGGGGAAGGGTGTGCTGCTCTCCCAGGTGTGAAGAGAGAGGAATGCCATGAAGAACAACACCTGCTCACAAGAAGAAGGGGCAGTATCCGGCTTTGGAGCAACCTGCTCCTGAGATAACTAAGCCACCCTCACAGACGCCACATTCACCCTATCGTGAGAATGGAGTGCTCATGATCCAGTTGCCTTTTTTCCCCTTCTGAGACAAGATCCTGTTGTTTACCTAGGCTGGCCTCGAAGTCTCTATGTGGCCCAGGATTGCCTTGAACTTGTGATGGTCCTACCTCTCTGCCTCTCAAGTGATGGAGTTACAGTATGAACCACAGGATCACCTGTATTCTAACCTGGCCTCAAATTTTATGTATCTAGAATGACCTTTAGCCCTGGCTGTCCTGGAACTAGATGTGTAGGTGTTTCGCCTGCATGCATACCTGTGCACCACATCCATGTCTGGAACCCTCATGGACAGAAGAGGGCACTGGATCCCTTGGGACTGGAGTTATAGATAGCTGTGAGCTGCCATGCAGGTGCTAGGAACAGAACCTGGTCCTCTGTAAGAGTAGCCTGTACTGAGCTGTCTCTTTAGCTCCCAGTGTCCCCTCCTTTAAATACCATAATTCATCCAGTCTCTAAAAGCAGCTGTGCACACCAAGCAAGAGGTCAGGCCTTTTAAAACACAGCCATCCCAAGCAAGTTATGAGCCAAAGTGAAAAAAGAATTATCCAGATTGTTTCAACTTAAACCACTGTGAGATCTCAGCAGGGTGGGGACTGAGTCTGACCTTGAATTTGAGAGGTAGGGCCTTTGGAAGGTTCTGGGATTCAATCCACCAGGCTGGAAGCCTAGAATTGAAATCTGGTGGCTCTGAAAGAGGACAGGGAAGGCAGAGAATTCATACTCAGCGTGCTCCTGTCACCAACAATGGTGTCCCATGGGCCTCAGAACTCTGCCGAAAAGACAGCCTTTACCAGATACGCCCCTCAACATTGGCATAGAAGCATGAGCCAAAAAGCACCTTTGTTTTTTGAGACAGTCTTGGAATGCAGCCCAGGCTGTCCTCAAACTTACATGTATCCTGCCTCTGCCTCCCAAATGCTGCAATTACATGTGGGTAACACCAAATCTGGCACCCTCCTCTAACTTCCCTAGCCTGGGGTATTATGTAATTAGCAACAGAACACAGACTAAACCACACAACTAGACTGTATGGCTATGGACAAGTAACAACCTCTCTGGCCTCCCTTTCATCATGAGCACATCCCCAAACTGAACAGGGCTGACACAGTTTGAATGAGACAATATACCCACGCTTCACACCTCCCTTGCTGTTTCTAGCACTGGATGGATTACAGCCAGCCAGCTGTAGAAACATTTAAATACCAGGGCAATGTCACCCTCCGGGTAGTTGGTAAACTGTCAACCCACAGCAGTGACTGGATCAACACGAGAGGTTGACTGTACTAAAGTTAAAATCTGCCCAAGACAAATGAATGCTCGAACAGTAGAAACCGAATTGCCTACGTCAGTCGGTCAGTCAGTCAGTCAGTCAGTAGCTCTGGGAACGACAGAAGCACTTTTTCCCCATTAAAGTTAGCCCTAAGCCACTTGGAGCATGTAAATCAGGCGGTTGCAGCATCGCCCTTCCAGAAGAATGGAGCCAGCTTGCAGGAGTCATTTTTGCTCTGAGCCACATATTCACACTAAGCTAAGGTGTTACATCCTCAAGAGCCAACGCCAGTTCCCCTTAAAAAAGAAACAAACTGCGTGGGGAAGAAAGAGAAGAGGTCAGGCTGCAAAACCTATGATCGCATTAGGTCAAGGAAGAGTGAGTGAGTCTGTGTAGGCGTGACACAGACACAAACACTTCAGAACTATAAGAAAAGCCAGCATGACATGTCCAGCATGGGTTTGATAAAGATTTTTTTTTTCTTTGAGTTTCCCGGGTCTTTCTTTCGGATAAGGAAGAAATGTAAAGACACCAGAAAACAACAAATGGAGTCTTGGAAAGACTCTCCTCCATCCTGGGGCTTTGGCTTTTGTTGTTCGTTTGTTTTTGTGGTTTTTGGTTTTTGGTTTGTTTGTTTCCAATAAGAGAGATCATGTTGTCACTTTTAGAATATTATTTAGATAGAAGGAAGGGAGAAATCTAGAAATTTAACTTTAGAGCTGAAGAGCTAAAGGTTATGATCATAAGGTTCAAAACTGCTCCAAGAAAACAGAACCTGCTGGAACACCTGTGAGGGCAGCAAGGGTGCTCACGGACAGTCTGGAGTGGACTTTCTGCAGAGATGTGCCATAGGAAGAGGAGGGGTCACACTGGGCTCAAGCACTTGGGAGAGAGTCCCTGCTCCTCATGGGTAAACCTGGAAGCATCTAATGCCAACAGGGGACCCTGTGGTTGACCCTGACAACTTTTAAATGGTAGCGACCTTTAAACATTCCTGATTTTACACTCTAAGTATGTGTACAAATAACTTAGAAACCATATAAATGACAATTATACTTTGCTTTAGATTTTAAATGTGCATGTATGTGGATGGGTATGTGCACACATGTGTGGGGGTGGGTGTCTTCCAAGGCCAGGCACCTTGGATCCTCTAGAGCTGAAGTTACAGGCATTGTGAGCTGGCCTGACATGGGTGCTGGGACAGAAAACTCAGGTGTTCTGCAGGAGCAGCACCTGCTCTCGACAGTATCTCTTCAGCCCCAAATGCTGTTGTCTTGTTTTGCTTTGCTTTGAGATGTCTCATTATATAGCTATGTATGGCCCATAACTCAGGAGCTGGACCAGGCTGGCCCTGCGCTCCCAGAGATCCTCCTGCCTCTACCTTTCAAATGCTGAGATTACAGATATGTGTCACAAGTATTCCAGGCAACAACTATAGTTTTATGCTAAAAAAATCTTATTAACTACATACAAGAGCCAGAAAATGTAAATATGGAGAAAAAAAAAAAAACAGAAATTCTAATACATTTGTCTTTAACAATCATTCCATGAAACCCCCAGGAGGGCGATGCAGCCACAGAGGATTCAGGCAGTCCTAAACAAGACTTGATAGTCTGGGGTCAGCTGGTAAGGGAGGAGGGCTTTTCCTTTCTGAGAATGAGGGGACAGGAACAGGAGGGAAGAAGAAGGGAGGGAAGGAGATAAGGGAGGAGGGATATGATTGGGGTGTAAAATAAACAAATTAAATAATAAATAATAATAAATTAATAATAAAAAAGAACCCTCCCCAGGAGGCCCAAAGCCTGACACACAGCATACACAGAAAGGTGACTTTTTTTTCTCACTGTACACAAGATAAGCTGGCAGCAAGTGCCGCCGATGGACATTAATTGGCCTCTTTTCTCCTGGCCCTTTCCTGCAATTACACAAGCATTGAACCTGATGCCAGAATCTCAAAAATATATAATCCTGCCAGGTATGGTAGCACTTAATTCCAGCAGTTTATAGGAGGCAGAGGCAGGTAGGTCTCTATGGATATAAAGCCAGCCTGGTCTACACAGTGAGATCCAGGACAGCCAGGGCTACATAGTGAGACTGTTTGAGAAATAAGAATATAGAACCCTAACATTCAGCCATTATAGAACCTCAAAATGTAGCAAATACCTGGCAAACTGAAGGACAGACCTAAGAGGAACTAAATAGAAGTGTCGTATTTCCTGGAGCCATGGAGAACTTCAAACCTATCTGGTAAACAGGTAAACATGATTTACACAGAAGGTTCCCAGATGAACTGTTTGGATTCCTGAAGAACAGTGAGATTCCAAAGTCTTAAAAACATCGCTAGGGGCTGGAGAGATGATTCAGAGGTTAAGAGCACTGGCTGCGCTTCCCGGGGTCCTGAGTTCAGTTCCCAGCAACCACATGGTGGCTTATAGCCATCTGCCCTCCTCCAGTGTGCAAGCAGAACATCATATACATCATAAATAAATAAATCTTTAAAAAAGGAAAAAAAAAAAAAAAAAAAAAAAAGGACAGCCCTAAAGCGAACACCTTTAGGCATTAGCTCAAGATGTTCATGCGATGCCAGCTGCGCTTACCTTTAGTATTTCCGGCTCTTTGATGTCCAGGGATCTGGCGTTGCAGTGCCGCAGAGCCTTATGAGATTTGTGGTACTTATGAGCACTTGGTGGTGTAAAGAACCAAATCATGCAAACTGCGGTCATGAACCCAAGGCCAATGCCCAGGAAGAGCCCGCTCACGTAGTAGGGGAGGGGGAGGATGAGGTACGCATAGACACACAGTATGAAGAAGCCCAGCGTCTTTACAGGCAACTCCTGGTGCTGGCTGGCCAAGTCCACTTCGTCATCGCCGTCCAGAGCCATGCCATCGTGGGCAAGCACCTCTGGCTCGAGGGGGACATCAAGGGTCTTGTCAAGTCTCCCCTCGCTCTGAGTCTCCAGCTCAAAGTCCTCGGTGTACAGCTCACAGAACTCTTCGTCCTCTTTGCTCACTAAAGCAGACAGAGAACATTTCTCGAGAACCAGAGAACTTGTCTTCAGGCCTAAATCCTTCAGACTGCTTGCCTGGGAACCCTTGGGCTCCCCATCCTTCGTGGCGTCCTCAGTGGGCTTTGGGGGATCGCTCCTGGGGGCGCTGGGGTCACCGTCATCACCGTCACCCTCGGAGTCACCCTCCTCCTCCTTGATGCTGTAGTTGTTATTGCTCTCCAAGTGCCCGTTCAGGCTGGACAGGTTGGAGAGCTCTGAAGCACTTGAGGATAAGGCTTTGGGCCTGTGGCTGCCGCTCTCCTCCCCCATGATTTTGCTGAGGAGCTGAAATGGCTCATAGATGACTTCGGAAAGGCGTCGCTTAGTGTCTTCGATTTTCGCCTCCATTTCCGGCACTTTAAAAAAGGAGCGAGTGTCACAGGGAGAAGTCAGTGGGGAAGAAGGCGCGGTCTTGGAGTCTCCACCCGTGTTCCGTGGCTGTGTGAACTGTTTGAACAGGTGCAGGTTGAGTTTGGAGTCGGGGGGCTTATAGGACACGGTATCTGACTCCTGCCTGGAGGTGTCTGTGGACAGGGACTTGACCAGAGTCTTCATCAAGTGCCTGTGCCGTGGGGGGTGAGAGGATTCTTTTGGCTCCACCTCGGTTGACAAGGACTTCACCAGGCTCATGAAGGGCTTTGCACTGGACAGGGCGGAGGACGAGGCACTGGATGAAAGGACCGGAGACTTGGAAGGGGAAGACAGTGGAGACGAGGAACTGGTTTTCTGCTCAGAAAGGGATGACACACTGGGAGAACTAGCTAAAGGGCCGGATGAGGATGACCCCGGGGACAGAGCCAGTGGCACGGGACTTAATACTTGCACTGCTGGAGCAGGGCACTCTAGCAGCTTTACCGTGTTCTCAGAGACAGGCAAAATGGCAGGGGTCTTGGACAGCCCATCTGCCGGGACAGTCGCAGCAGCAGGGCCTGAAGGGTCATGGCCACCCTGGGCTTCAAGATACAGGTCCTCCTTGGCTTCAAGCCCCGTTACAATGCTTTGGTCATCTAGCCCCTCCTCCAGGTACCCCCTGAACTCCTCCTCCTCTTCCTCCTCCTCCTCCCCGGATGCCGAGAAGTGAATGGCGATGGTATCTCGGGACACGGACCTCTGCACGTGCACTTTGGGGGCTGATGGTTTTGGCATGTCAATGGTTTTCTCTGCATGGCGACCATTCAGACTTGTCATTGCCGGCTTTGCAAGGGCTCAGGCTCTGTCAAAAACAGCAAGAAAAGCAGAAGTCAGAGAGTGGCTTCTCCACAGGCAACAGGGCCACGTGCAGCTCTAGCCCGGATGAAGCTCAGCTTAGATGGTGATTACACTTTTACATGGCAGATGGCCATGGCTTCTCGCTTTGGAAGGTTTAATGGTTTAATTTTCACTAGATAAATTCCAGCTAGGCATTCTCTTTTATGAGCAAACCACACAGCAGCGTTGTAAATGCCAAACAATCCGTCTCGCTCACAACTGCTCAATAGCCACTCCCTCCCCTTTAAGTGGCTCATTTTTATTAGCAACTGTCTACTACAAAGCTAAAATGAAGGTTCCTGGTAAGCATACGGCTCTTGAGATAACAATTTCACCTTGGTGTCCCAGGTGTGGAAAGCTAGCCCGGAGGGTCACTGCTTCCACTGTGGCATCACAGAAGCCCTAACAACGTGCCTCGAGTCTCCCACGGCTGTTCCCCTCTGTCTTGCCACTGCTGTAAGTGACAAAACATCCAAGGGAGGAAATGTAGACTCTAACTGCCATGGCCTGTCACTGTTCTTACATGGCAAGTGCCATCCAGCCAGGACACCAGTTCTGTCCTCTGAACTGGTGGGGAGGCCTGGCAGGGAGGAGAGAAAGATAGGGGCATGAGGACCAACGTATGACTGGCTCCCTAGATCTGTTCTCTGCCTACAGGTCACAAAGAGGCAGTGGAGGGAGGTGACCCCAGGTACAGGAGAGGCATCCTGGGCAAGTGGAAAGGACATCTGCCTTGGACAGGGCAACAGGCTGCTCATACTCCTTCCCAGGTGACTCTGTGTAACTCGAACAAGCTACAACTCTTGAAAGCACTACGACTCAAACCAAAACCTCTTGGTCTCAGTCTTAGCTGCAAACGGGATCTAGGGAATGTTCCAAATGTAAAATCTTACTTGTCTACGCTCACGGGTGACTGTTGACAAGCAGCCTATCGCAGACCAGCGATCATGCATTGCTCAGATATTCCAACGTTTAGTTCTTATGTCAGACACTGCTGTTCAAAGTGCCAGCAACTGATCCTACCAACAAGAGAACAGATGAGACCACACTCCTAGATCACCAGAGAGAGGGAATTTGCCAACGATGGCAAGAGTACCAGAGCCAGGGCCCAGACACCACATGAACATATCAAATGTTTGGTACATTCACACGAACGTATTCGATTTCACTATCAACCCCTGAGCGAAATCACTTCTAGAAAGACTTTGCAATGGAGTTTTGCCCCTGTTCTTCTGTGATCTGCAGGCTCTCCTACTGGGGTTGAAGGAAGGAAGGGACAGTGCATTCCATCAACCAAACACAGCAATCTGCATCCAGCAGTGCCCAACAGTTGGTAACTTCAGCCTCCAGGGTCTCTTCTCTGGTTTGCTGATGGACAGGCTCTCCCTCTTGTAGCCCTGGCAAGCCTGGAACTCATAATGTAGACCACACTGACCTTGAATTCTTAGGGATGCCCACACCTGCCTTCCGAGCACTGGGATTAGAGGCAGGCCTAGCTCTTCCCTGTGCTCTTTTATCAACACGTCTGGAGGTTGTAAAGAAAACAAAACAAAGCAGCAATAAAAACAATGGGAAAGAGCTCAGTCTTCGTTCAGCAGCCACCTAGTTTTATAGGAGTATTTTTTTCTAGATTTCCTTTACTTATATGTATGCGCATGGTTATGTGCACACATGGTATGTGCATGTTCATGTGGCGCCCAAGAAGGCCAGAGCATCAGATACAGACATTAGTAATCCTGGAGATACAGACATTAGTAATCCACCTGATGATATCGATGCTAAGAACGGAACCCAGGTTCCATCTGTGCTCTTAACTGCTGAGCCGTCTCTCTTGCCCATCACAGGGGTAATTTTGAAGGAAAATTGTAGATGTAATTTGAGAAGAAAGTTTGGCACGGCTAATTCTCAGGCAGCTGCCCTAATGACATCCAGGGTGAAACAGGGCTGTGCCGTTGTGAGGTTGCCCAGTGGCGGCCCAGTGAAAGAGACCATGGCCACAAGTTGAGGAAGAAGCAGGACATTAGCTGAGGGGGAAGGCCAGGCCAGGCAAAGCGAAAGGCCTCAGGGAAACTAACACACAGCAGAGTCTGTGGTCTCACCAACCAGGCCAGACCTTAGGAACAAAGCCGGCACCGCACCTGCTCAGAAAACTGCTGTGTTTGTACAGAGGCCACTAGGGACCAACTTCCAGACAGTCAGGGGCCCATGACCTGCCACCTGAAAGGGACTTCTGATGATCTCTGCTCAACCGTCCCCAAGTCCTTATCAGTCAAGAAGGCCTGAGATAGGCCCCACAGAGAACTGAATGCCAGGCCACCAGATAGGGAGGCAGTCTGGCCAAGCTCAGAGCTTCAGAGGCCCATTGTAAAGTGCTGAGTCCACACTGACGGAGCCTGGCTCCACTCTGTTGTCTCACAAAGCAAGCTGGTGGAGGCTGAGGTACCACTGCTACTCTTAAACACAAGGACACGTCTGGACTGCTGTTCTGAGGGTACAGAACTTGTGCTCACCGCTTAGGAGGACCAAAGTGCCAGTTTGCCAGGATCAGCCTATGCTCACTAGCCCATGGCTAGGGGTTCCATTTCCTTAGGCTTATTATGAGACCAGGTAAACAAAGGCTGCTTCTAGGAAGCAAATCATTGGTAAACTCTGTGTGCCAGAACAAGCCCATGGTTTGAGTTCCAGATATCTAATCAGGTCTCTTCCAAGCCACTTCCTCTCCTACTCCTTATGGTGGTTCCACAGACCAGCAGGAAAGTGCACCCAACTGACACTGGGAATGTGGTGTGGTCTGCCCCAGCACCAAGCGACCATGAGAGACTTGGTCAGATGTGGCCTTCCTGACACCCTTCCCACAGCAGCAAGCAGCTCTCTGTCTCGCTTTGTTCTGGCCACAGCAGCTACCCTCTGTGCCCCATCACGATGCTTCCCCGTGAGCCAAGAGCTCAGTTCTGAACCAGCAGCATGTGACCGGCTGCACGGAGAAATGAAAGGCCTCCTTATCCAGCCTACAATCTACCACCACCAAAAATGCCTAGCCTCGTGCTCTCTGCTGCTGAAACTCAATTACATCCAGGCTCACCAAGCTGACAGCCTTCAGCCTCGGGAGCTGAAATGCCAATGTAGATTGACTTCCCCACTCATCTCCCCCATGAAGCCACCGGCAGACCTTGAGTTGCTGGAGTCTTGCACTGACCTCGGTGTCTAGTGTGAAGTGGCTCTTTAGACTTGAAAACTAATCTTGTCACAGGGGTCCCTTGGGGACAGTGTCCTGCCACAGATGTGCTGAAGCAAGTCCGATGTGATCACAGTGAGCTGCAGACTGTGTCCAGCCTCAGAAGCAGCTCAGACGCAAGGTGGAGGGGTGGCCAGGGACTGCTCTCTGCATAGGCTGCTCCTCTCTCAAGGCCGCCGTCCTGTTGGCAGTGAGTACAATACCCACAGATAGCTAAGTCCTCTCGGAAGCCGACACTTCTGCAACTGACCAAGGATCAAGTGGGAAAGACTAAGGAAAAGGAAACCTAGAAATGGGCCCTAGAGAAGCTACCTCGACCCCCAAGGCATGGGCTGATCCTGGCAAACTGGCACTTTCCTCACTTTTCTTCTTATACTGTGTGTGTGTGTGTGTGTGTGTGTGTGTGTGTGTGTGTGTGTGTGTCTGTCTCTTTGCACAGGCTCATCTGTGCACATGAGCCACTGGGCACATGTGGAGGTCAGAGGACAACCTGTCCTCTCTCCTGTCACGTTTGTCCTGGGGAGGGACTCAGGTCACCTGTCAGGCTGAGCAGCTGTAAAGTAAGAGCTGTGCCATTTGAACCTTTGAGCTTTATGTCTGTGGCGGGGAGGCATGCAAGGCTGCTGCCATTAGGTGCTCATCGTATTCCTTAAGAAATGAAAATACATTATTAAACAGGAGACTCAGCGCTGGGGCAGAATCCAAATGCTACTGTCCTGAGAACCTGAAATGTGTCAGTCTTCTCCATTACTCAGGCTCTCTAGTACTCCCTTTGGCATCATTACAAGATCTACTCAAGAACAGGAAATGCAGGGAAGACACAGGTCAAAAGGAAAGTCCACGGAAGATAGAGACAAGCAGAGAGCACGTCGCTAGCTTTTCAGAATCAAAGTTTTCCTCTCAAGGGCAAGCACAAGCCAGGGAGCAAAGGCGCTTGCCAGCAAGCCCGATGAGCTGAGTCTGATCCCAGAAGCCTGCATGGTGGAAGGGAAGACCAATCCCCAGACACTGTCCTCTGGCTCCCACATGTGCGTCACTATGTACATGCTGGGAAACCTCACAAAGCCAGGTGAGGTGGCTGCGTGTGACCCCGTGAGCTGTGAAGGCTGAGGCAGGAAGAGCCCAGCCACCAGGCCAGCTGTGGCAGCCCAGGATGCCGAGGCTGAGATGAGACTCCGCCAGCAAACAAGCCAAAAGCACTCAACTTCGCTTGTTCTTAACTCCGGTGAGGCCAGCTTCTAAGATAAGGGATGCAGACATATTTATGCTCCCAGGCATTTAAGGGAAAACAAAAAGCTTGTTGCGGCCAAATGCTCTCTGTGAGCTTGGGCTTGGCAGCCACGTTCCTGGAAAGCAGGATGCTGCCTGCTCTGCTGATGGCCTTTCCCCAGGTCCTGGCTGTGTTTCTCCATTAGAGCCACTGTCCCTGAAAAGAAGTCCATCTCTCTCAGTAAGATGGAGAAAGCTGTGCTGGGTGTGGTGGTGCATGCTTTTAACCCCAAGCTCGGGAGGCAGAGGCAGCCAGATGATTGTGAGTTCCACGTCATCCTAGCAAGTTCGAGGACAGCCAGGGCTAAAGAGACCTCTTTTCCAAAATAAAAGGCAAAATAAAATTTAAAATGAAGGAAGCTTCTAATATGGGGTTTGCTCCAGAATTTATGTAATATTCTTTTTTGTTGTTTTATTTTGTTTTGTTTTGTTTTGTTTTGTTTTGTTTTGTTTTGTTTTCT